TGAAACGGAACGACCTCAGGACTAATAGTATATCTGCAGTTTCGACTCCCACTGCAAATGGTCCCACTAGGTCAGCATACTTTTGGTGTAGAGACTCATTTAGATTGGTTCCAAAGTCAGTCAGATATATTTTCAATCCATCTGCATCGATTCTGTCAACTCTGTAGAATTTCATGTCTGGAGGTATGTAGTACAAGCCATTCTCTGCATTGGCAACAAACTTTTCAAACCATTGTTCTAAAGGCTTTGTGCAAATCCTCTCAAATGCCCTGTTGGTCCATATTTCATATTGCACAGCTCGAATGTTATTAGCATGATCCTTTGGGAGTGGTATGTTTTGTCTGACTCGTTTTTGCCAATACTCCCTTTGGAAGAACTCGTGGAAAGCAAGATCCGTTTCACCTTTGCTAAGGACCACCTTGGCAACGTTTGCATAATCGTCCTCATCATTGATCCAAGTTGCAGCAAGGAGGAACTGGCAGACATGTGCAGCTTTATTGGCTTTCTTTGACAGTGGTATGTTGTGAAATTGGTGAAAAAGATCCCTCACTGACTTTTGTCAAAAGCAAACCAGTCTCACTATCCTTGTGCATCTCTGCTTCAAGGCCAGCAGCAGCCCTGTCCTCAGTGTCATCCTCCTGGGCAATGATATCAACACTGTCCGTTTCCTGCATTGGCATCATTGGTGTACTGTTGTTGCTGGCCTGGTGTTCCTGTAATAGCCCATCAAGATAGCTCTTGTCGACTTGGAAAGGTTGGACAGTCGCATCCCCCACCATGGCTGGCGTGCAAGATGGTTGATGGTCATCCAAAAGGATCTTGATTTGATTGACTTTCACTGCCAGTTCAAAAGTATGAAGACTTCTCTTCAGCTCTCCTAGTGTCTTTGCTGTTTGTGGCCAGGATGAATGCCTTCTTTTTGGTTCAAACGCTTCATCAATCAGACTTTCAATAACAACCACACAATCCGCCCTACCTATTTTTTTGCTGTTCCGTGATCTCTGCTCTCCTCTGGTTCCAACAAACCAAAGAGTACCGGCAGCAATGTCCTTTGTGTTGTGTGTAACAATGCAGCATTTCCCTACTTGCAAAGTTGGATGTGGACCAACAAGTTGGCCTCCTTGTGCTAACGATGCCAATGCCCTGTGACAAACCCATAGTGAGACAACTGCATCCAGAGCACAGTATTGCACATCTGTAGCTGATAGTTTAGCCTTGCATAGCTGGACAACTGCGCATCAGACTTGTTCATTGGATATGTGCATAGAAGATACTCTTCCATCAAGTCTTTCAGTCCATATTGTTCAATGTCCCTATCAGATCTACACAAGTTGTACAGCTCCATCCTTCTCTGGATCAGAACTCCAAATTGGTCCTCCAGCTTCTTGCAATCACCGCCAATCAGACGTCCAGTGGGGATCATATTGTG